TCTTTTTATTCACTGTAAAAAAGTTTTTCTTAACAACTTTTTGAAACAATGAGACATAAAACTTGATATCACAAGGAATAATATGAAATTTGTCTGAAATGGCTTCCAGTATTCGTTTTTAAGAAATTATTGAGCAAAGCAAGTAGCAAAGTAAGTGAAGTCGCTATTTTTTCGACCGGCGGCAGTAACGAAGGCGGGAGGCATTTTATAAAAAAATTTGTATGAAAACATTAACATAAACTTATGGAATATCTTATACTACATAAAAGTGAAATAAATTTTCATAAAAATTTTTTGTAATGGTGAAAATTAACGTGCACATTAGATTGAGCATAACTGCAGTCGGAGAACGTCCTTAAGGCGCGTTAGAGTAGTCAAAATGGTCAATATGTGTTAATTCAATCAATTCAATTTACGGAAATTGTAAAATAATTTCTTTATTTTAGAAAGGTGGAAAATTATCACCAATGTTAATGACAGTATCGCTTCCGATTGTGCAAAAAAATGTCTCAGGTATATATAAATACATTCACCGCATCACCGATCGAATGATTTGTGAGGGTTACATGTATGGCGGCCAAGATGCGTGTGAAGGCGATTCGGGCGGGCCTCTTGTGGGCGGATGGTACTCTCTACGGAATTGTATCCTGGGGATACAAATGCGCTGAGCCGCTTTGTCCCGGTGTTTATACAAATGTTGCGGACCTTCTGTGGTGGATCAGATGGATCAGTGGTATTTGAGCTTTGACAATTACGCTCTTTGCTACGCGTCTCAATTTGTAGATGATAGAACATCGAGTGTGGCTACTCAGTAAAAGAGCAAGATAACATTTGTGTGAGACAGATCTTAAGAAACAAGAATCTTATAGAGATTTTATGTAATATCGTTTATAAAAATTAACACAAACGAGATTGCGAGTTTCGAGATTGAAGTAGTTTTAAGAGAAAGAAATAAACGATACAAAATCGTTTAAAAAAGTTTAAAAAGTATAAATTAAAACAAACAATATAATGAAGAAAATAAATTAACGAATATTAATATTGATGTCGTAAGTACCCAACAAACTCAAATTTTATCATCATGTTTTAATTAAACGATGTAAGAATAAAGATATCGTTGGAAAAACATAAAGTTCGTTTTATATAGTTCTTCTTTCTTTTCCCCTTCCCCTCTCCCACTCTCTCCCTCCCTCCCTCCTTCCCACCACACTAGAAATTTAATTAGCTATCATAATCTAACATGGTTATATCATTATTGGTCGATCGATAAGGTATCACTTATGCATATGTTACGTGGTTGTGTATACCAATTAGTTTGACACACAAACATTATCCCAGAATTAAATTACGCTTCTAATGTAACAATTCCAAATTAATCGCGCGGCGTTCTTTTATATTTCCTGATAACGATTTGTTACAATTTTGAACGTAGATAATGCGACACTAGAAATTTATCAAAGACAGAAAGTAAGTTTCCATTCGCGAATCGTTCTGTGACACAATCACTTCATACAAGAATCATTACTCCTGGCTAATTAATGTTAAAAAATGTTTCCAAAACTCATCTTATTATTCTGCGTATCTGTAGCAGTTTTAGTATACAGTGAGTCAAATTTTATTACACATCCGCACTTTTCACACTGAATTGTTTTACATAAATTGTGATTACAGCTGTTAATACCGAAAAGCACGAATATGTGGTCATCGAGGATTATCCGTACCATGTGAGAGAAACTCATTTCTTTTTTTTCCCATTTGCGATAGCTTGCAGTACCTACCGTGCGTCCCACCGGCAAATAAAACTATATGCCATTCACATGTGGCTTTAATCGGTAGTCAGTACAGCACGGTGACTGTAAGCCGCTATTATTTTCAAATAAATCGGATTTCAGATAGAATTCGTTATTCCAATACAGGTATCGATCCAGATAGCCGGACTACACGTTTGCAGCGGCGCGTTCATACATGAATCGTGGATTATGACCGCGGCATCCTGTGTTTTTAGGTACGTGCTACTGCAAAAGTAATAGTATACAGGACGTTCCTCTTGGAAACTATAACTTTGACTTTAAGAGATTCCTTCATGAATTTAAAGCTGACTTTATAAAGCTGACTTTATCTTAGAAGTTAGAAATATTAATATTTTTTTAGTTTTGATATATGCAATATGAATTGACAATATGTTTTATATTTTTTAACTTTCAGATTTTATAGTGGTTACATTTTATACAGGAAAGGAACGATTTTGCTAAGATATTTAAAAAATTGGTTAGATACTGGCTAGATTGAAAACAATTTTGTCCATAAAAATATTATAATTATGTAGGGAACTAAAACATGATGAATAATGCGACAAACAAATTTTATATTCAATCTTAGCGTTATTTTCAATTCTGCATTTAGCTAAATTTTTTAATAATTTTAGCAAAATCATTCTTTACAGAGTGTCCGGTAATTTTTGACAAAGGGCTCGTGTGTATTAGATAGAGCGAACTAAACTGAGTCGAAAAGTTCTGTATCATCTTTACAATTTTCGTAATTTTTCTTTAGTTATCCAATGAGCAAAATGTCTATTGTAAAATTAACATATGAAACAATTTTAAGATACCTTTAAAGGTTCTTTAAGAAATATCTTTAAGATATTTGATAAAGAACTCTGAAACAAATCTTAAAGTTGTCTTAAGCGTCGATTTTATCCGCTCATTCGATAATCTTTAAAAATTAATATCTCGTTCTATCGCGAAAATTGCAAAATGAGAACTTTCGACTCATTATCAGTTTAGTCCGCTCTATCTATGTAGCGTTTTATTAAAATTTATTGGACACCTTGTATATGTACATACACACACATATATATATATACTTTATTAATATGTCGATTAATAAAATATTGATACATTAAAATGTTTATTAATATGTTCTAGTGTAAAATCATCGATAATATCCGTACGCGTGCGTTCCTCTTATATGTCCAAGGATGGCGATGTATTAGAAATAGACAAAATTGTGGTGCACGAAGATTTTGATAAATACGTATACCTCAACGATATAGCACTGATGAAGGTACGTATCTCCATTTATTGAACAAACATCTTATGCGCCCGTGTTTTATTGGTTTACCTCTCATGCGCGCTTATGCAAAGTTGTCACATTTATCAAACTTGTAGCTAAAGAGTCCTGCAGAGTTTGGAGAAAAGTTGCTTCCTATCGGACTGCCGGAAAATGAAAAACTCCAGGATGGGGCCCATTGTGTCGTGACTGGCTGGAAACGAGCTCGGGTAAATATTCGAGTGAGACGCGTAGCTTTAGTCTATTTTGAAATTTTTCACAATCGTTTGCTCGAAAATACCGTTTCTTATCGTTTGACGAAGTATCCAGGTGCCGCGACACTTGGGGAACGCGTGACTCCGCCGTTCTTCCGCGGTGAAACGCTTCTCCTGGAGTTAGCAACTTCTCTGGAACGAGATTTTTACAGCGAGCGTATAGGCATTTTTACAGGAACTTGGATATGTAAACTTTCCGCAACTTCCCGCCAACCGGTTGGCGCACGATGTTATTCAAAGTCACGTCGGTACCAAAAAGTAAATCGTTACGAAACACTGTCGCAAAACGCGTTCGTAACTCTCTTTCCCCTCCTCCTCTCACCCCCCCCCGTTTTGCTGCGACGAGGTCGCAATAACGAGAAACGTGTCGTAAAAACGTGCCGAGCCGTGCCAAATTTCCAGAGGACCAGCCCAAACGGAGCTCAGCTCGCGGCGGCCGGCGCGGCGATCGTAAATCAACGTACGTGCGAGGCGATGATGCCGAGCTACAAGCCGCTGTCTGAGGATATGCTGTGCGCTAACGCGACCCGTTCGTCGGAAGGGTGTCAGGTAAGATAAACGTATAAGACGAAAGTGACGCGACGCAACTCGGCTCGTGAAACGGGCGCGGTGATCCGTGAAGGGCTCGCGTGTATGAAACCCGCGACAAACTGTGGACGACACCAGAGAGAGCGTCGACGACACCGACAAGAGGCGCCTCGACCTCGTCGTCGCATGTCACGACACTTGGCACGCGTGCACGGTGTATATGCATCATCTACGTGCTATTGAATCCGGCTGCACGCTCTCTCGTGTGTCAAGCGCAATGAATCTGAAACAAAAAGTACTGTGCGAGATACCAAAATTATTGCGAAATGTCCTTTTAATTAAAAACAGATAATAATAATAATAATAATAATATAATTAAATAATATAATTAAATAATATAATAATATAATAAGGTTTTCAATCAATTAACCCGAGAAGAGTGACTTGATTTTTTTTTTTATCATCTGGGTTATTTTTAGAGGCGAAAAGTTCAAATCGAATTAAATCATAGTGGATTCGATTCGATTCATTTTCGAATATGAGAAATTCGAAACCGAAATTTCAAATTATCGATGGTTCGATTTCAAATTTGATTACTTTATTTTCTTCATTTTAACGTAAAGCCGGGAAAATTTTATTCGATTCAATTTGAAACAAGAATTTCAATTTCAATTCGACTTGATTTGATTCGACCTCGTAAATGCTTGATTCGCACACCTTTGGTATTTTGATATCCTAATTAATATCACTGTTATTACAACATATTATATAGTATATTAATCGTTTTCTAATTTATTAGTGCTTGAGAATATTATGGATAGAAGGATTAATTACAATTTTCTGAAAGAACAAGTAGAGAAACCAAACAAATATTAAATGGAAGGTATATGTTGAGCAGCTTATTATGATATTATAATATTTCTAAAAAAAAATGAAGGTTTTAATTAACATGATATTTTTTTATTGCGGGTTTTTTTTCGATGAAACTGAGTACTTAAAGAATAGTTATTAAAGAAAAAAATATGTTAAACAATATTCATTTAAAACATTTTACAACAATTTACATTTTTTTGCCACTAATATATAAAAAAATCCCAGTGATTATTCCTTTAATAAGCATCAAGATGTAAGTTTTTTTATATAAACAATTCTCAATATATTCGTCAATTAATAAATCCTCAATAATATTTATCAATTAAATAAATAAGGAAAGGACCAATGTGATTAAGGCTAGATCTTAGTATTTAATATTTTTATATGTAAATTCTAAATATATCTTTCAATTACATGAATGCATTATAAAACACTTACCACCGAACTTAAAACGCAATCATATAGACCAAAGCTAAAATAATAGCATAATTAAATTGATCATCGATTTGATAACGATGCAACTAATTTTAAAAACCTGTTAAGAATTTATTGCAAAAAATATTATCCCATTCAAGATTCAAACTTAGAACTCCTCGACTATTTGGAACGGCTGCCATATTTATTAATTAACAAATTTATTTAGAATTATTAAAAAAAACTAATACTCATCTCTTGTTCGCGTTAATTGACCTAATATTCTATCATATTGTATAATAGAGGATAAATAATGAGAAATGATTTACAATTGTATTAATAATGGTTCATCTATTATAATATTACGAATGTTATCAGCTGAAATTCATTGAGATTATTGAGATTTTCGAGTAATTTCGAGCACCAATATCGATATGTGAATCTAAGCGCAATCTCGTAATGATCTCGCGAGGAACAGCGATATGTGGAAAATGCGAGGCGCGTAAATTAAGAGCAGTCGATGGTAGTCGAATTCCAATTGTGCCATGGCCACGAGTGTACAATTACATCAATGGAGTCAATAGTCTTTCCGCAAGTACACGCGCGGCTGGTTCAG